AAAAATAATAATCTTCTTAAAAATTTTTAAAAATAAAATTTTTTGTGTTCCCTCATTAATTTTTTGTGGTTTTCTTCAGTGGATGATTCTGGGGTTCTAAATATAAGGGCCCAATGGCTGTTAAAAGTGAAAGGAGCTCCGGGTTTTTCGAAAAAATCTTGGGGTTCCTGTCCTCTGGTTTTGTCAAAGGATAAGGGGGTTTTTCTTCTCTTTGGTGGTTTGTCAGGGAAGAGAGCCCCTCAAAAAAGGCCCGTTTTGCGTTTTTTTGGGTGGTTTGTCAGGGAAGGAAGCCCTAATGAAGGTCCCCTTTCTTGGTTTTTTTGGGTTTTTTGTCGGAAGAGAAGCCCCTGAATGAAGGCTCCTGTTCTCGCTTTTTCTTCTGACTACTGCGCTCCAGTAGAAACATAAAGTTGTTTAGTAATTATTAAAAAGGAACATTGTCAGAGATTTTTCCTGATTTTAAACCCTTGTTAGTTCTTCATCATTTACTTCTGGTTCGTTGTGGAAGGGGGCGTTCCTTGTCACTGCTTGAGTCTTCCTCACCCCCTTCTCCATTCTTTTTTCTTCCTTTTATTTTTTTCCTGTTCCTTCTTCTTTTTGCTGTCTACTAGTTTTTGGTTTTTTTCGGCAAATTTCTCCAATAGGGGTTTTTTCTTTTAACACTTTTTTTTAAAATAGTTTTACCAGGTACAATCCATCTATTCTTGAAGGCTACTAAAAATTATCCTGCACCCCTTCTCTGTTGCCTATGCCAGAAGTGCTTAAGGTTTTCCACGGGGCCCATAAATTAGCAATTCGTACTTGCCTCGACGGAAAATTTTGAATAAGTTTTTTTAATTTCCCTTTCTGGAAACCAAATCTTCGGGATCTTTGGAAAAAAAAAATTTTTTCCTTCAAGAATTTTTCAAAGCCTTTCTCCCTACGTAATTTTTTTCCACTCCGGGGACCCCACTTTTCCTCGATTTCTTCATATTGAGGTTTTTCCACTGGCGAGTCTTGTGTTTTCGATTTTCTTCTGGATTCCACTTTCTTTTAAAAAAGTTTATATCTTTGAAGGAGGTTTTTTCTTACCCTTAAAAGGCAAAATTTTTTAGTACTGTTTATAGTAAGTCCTGAGGTATTTCCCTTTTAACTTACACTATAAATAGCCAAAATGAAGGAGTTCACCCCCCAATATTTTTACCGTCAAAACAGAAGAAATATTTTAGTACGCATAGTAATTTCCCCTAGGTATTTCCGTTTTACTAAAATTAATATAGTCAAAATGGGGATTCATTTCCAATATTTTTACCGTCAAAGAAGGAATAATAGTACTGTTTGTAAGTGAGGTATTCACCTTAGATATACACTTACAGTAACACACCAAGGATTTCACCCCTTAGTTTTTAAATATAATAAAAACTTCAAGTTTTTTAATATATTTTAAGTCTTCAAGGGCTTAACCCCTATTTCTTCAAGGCTTTAATAAAAAATGTGTAAGTAATATGAAGGAAATAAAGTCTTTGTTACTCCAGTTGTATTGAGATGACAGCATCCTGTATTTGATGAAGCACCTGACTAAAAATAACTGACAGCAACCGAAAGGATGACTGCACACCTTAGTGAGATTTACAGCACGTAGTGAACTGACGCACCCGTATATGATGACACATCCTGTAGTGATGAATACAGATCCTGTATGATGAAACAGCATCCTTTAGTGATGATACAGCCCTGGGTAAAGATGACAGCATCCTTTAGTGTTTAAAAGAAACCCCTGTAGGATACTGAAGCACCTGTATTAGATACAGATCCTGTAGTGATAAAATTTACGCACCCTGATGATACTGACAGCATCCTGTGGGAGAATAAAAGCACCTGTAGTGGAATGACAGCATTCTGTAGTGATGAATTACAGCATCCTGTAGTGAAAAATGAAACTGTATGATGTTTAATCTTAACAATTTACTGTAGTGATTTTGAGCACATAAATTTTACTTTAGGATGTGTAGTTAGACTGAACATTTTTTGTAGCGTTGAGCCTGGCGTTTTTGAGTGATGTGGTTTTATTTCAGTTTACTGTAGTGATGTAAAGTACATACACTGTACTTATGATGTGAGAAGTAATAGTTTTTTTTTATAAAATGGAGTACTGAAAAATTTACTGTGTGATGTGGAATACTTAACATTTCGTAGTGCATTATTGATTTTTTTTATAAAAGAAACACAAAACCCCCTAGGTTTTACACAGTGGTTTAGGACAGAGGGTGTTGGGGAGCGATTATTATTATTATTATAATCAAGGGGAAGCGCTAACCCCCGGGGGTTATACGCGCCTGGGGGGGGGATGTGGGAAGGGGATTCAGGGTTAATTCGGGGAACTGGAGACAGATCCAAACCCTAAAAAAGAGCCCCCCCACCAAATCAAGGAACCTTCCTTGAGGGGGGGTGCAGCAAAAATAGCCAGGGTGGAGAGGAAAAGGTTGAGTTAGAAGGGGTGTCAGAATGTAAAGGAAGTTTATCAAAGTTTTGTTTAATAAGTTGTTCTGTAAAAGTTAAAGAGGAATCTGTGTCGAAGGTGAAGCTCGGCAAGGCTGGAAGATAAATAATAATAACAATAATATCTTTTTTACTGCCAGTACACGAACAATTGTACGACCAAACTGACATCAAAGACATAAACCCTATAGAAAGTCCCTTGTTATGCAGGGCATTTCCCGCAAATTAGGTCGTTTTTCCCAGGGTGTGCCCACACGCCACTAACACCCCCGGATGCGACCTCACCAATCCCCTAACACCCAGGTGCGCCCACACATCCCCCAAACCAGATGTGACCCACACCAGCCACTAACACCCAGGGTCGGCCTCAAAATCCCCTAACACCCAGGGTGCGACCCACACCCTCCATAAATCCCAGGGGGTGCGACCCCCCATCATCCAATAACACCCAAGATGCACCCTTCCCCTCCCCTAAACCAGGGTGCAACTACCCCCCAGCCCCAAAAACCCCGGATACAACCCACACCGCCACTAAAAACCCAGGTGCAACCACCCCGAGTCCACTAACACCCCGGAACAACCCCACCCATCCACTTAAAAACCCCGGATGCGACCCCCCACCATCCCCTAACCACAGGAAGTGACCCCCACCAGTCCACAACACCCGGGATGTGACCCCAAACAGTCCCTAAAACCCAGGAGTGACCCACCCCAGTCCCCCTAACACCCAGGAGGGGACCCACACTGTTCCCCTAGCACCCAGGGTGTACCCCCACCCCTCCCAAAAACCCCGGAGTGGCCCACACCCTCCACTAAACCCAGGATGTGACCCACACCCGCCCCTAACCCCGGGTGCAACCCACACCACTCCACTAACACCCAGGGTGTGACCCACACCCGTCCCCTAACACCCAGGATGCAAACTACCCACCACTAAAACCCGGGTCCCCCCACACCACTCCCTAACCCCAGGATGCAACCCACACCACTCACTAAAACCCAGGAGTGACCCACACCCGTCCACTAAACCCCGGAGCAACCTACACCAGTCCATAACACCCCGATCCACCCACACCCCCCATAACACCCAGGGTCACCCCCACCACTCCACTAACACCCAGGTGTGACCCACCCTCCACAACACCCAGGATGCAACCTACACCAGTCCACTAACCACCCCCGGGGCCACCCACACCCCCCCTAACACCCAGGATGCCCCCCACACCCCTCCCCTAAACCCCGGGCGCCCCCCAGCTTCGACCCCGGCCCTTTACTGTGGGTAAATAAAATCTGTAAGGAAAACAGTAACCCCCCCATTTGCTTTTGCCTGTCACATGTCCCCCCTTCCCCACCTGAACTGGCACTGGGGGGTGGTGTGCAAAAAGAAATTTTCTTTGTGGGGTGGTCATCACGCTCTTTGGTTCCCTTTCCTATCGACATCACGATTAACGACAAAGGCATAATTTTCCCCCGGCCCCTAGAAAAAAGTCTGTGGTAAGAAGGTCTTTCTCCCAAACTCTCTATTTGTTTTTTTTTCAAAAACCGTCTGTATCGGGGCTCTAAACTTTTACCTTTAAATTTTTGGAGTTTGGGGGGGGATTTTTGGTACCCCCCATAGAAGCTTTTAAACTGTTTATTTCTCCTTTTCAAAACATGTAAAGTGTAGTTGGTAAAAAGGTTTATTAAACATTTTTTTTTGGGGATTTTCTTTCTTTTTTGGGACCAGGGTGGGGAAGACCCCGATTGTTAAAAAAAAAAAAAAAATTTGTGTGTGTGTGTTTATCTTCTATCTTTTCCCCCTTTTTGTCTTTTGTTTTTACTTGTGTGTTGTCGTCTACTGTGGTGTCTGTCTACCTGTGTGTCTTTTGTTTTTACCTGTTGTGCTACCCGTGTGTGTGTCTACCGTGTTCTTTCTGTCTACCTGTGTTTCTTTCTGTCTACCGGTGTGTCTGTCTTTCTGTCTACCTGTGTGTGTCTTTCTGTCTACCTTTTGTGTTGTCTTTGCTGTCTACCTGAGTGTCTGTTTTTTTGTCTACCTGTGTGTCTTTCTGTCTACCTGTGTGTCTTTCGGGTCTACCTGTGTGTGTCTTTCTGTCTACCTGTGTGTGTCTTTGTCTACCTGAGTGTCTTTCTGTCTACCTGTGTGTCTGTCTACCTGTGTGTCTTCTGTCTACCTATGTCTGTCTTTCTGTCTGCTTGTCTGTCTCAGAGCCACTCTAATCCCATAAGGCTCATACAATGCCTGGGAAAAGAATAGGGAGGCACAATACTGTGTCTGGATCAACACACAAATAACCCAGACACAGGAGAATGAAACTTGTGACATCTCATTATTGGTACAAGTCGGACCGAAATGTCATCATTAGTTTCATTCTCCCATGTGTGGTTTATATGTGCATAGTGCCTGGGAAAAGGGAGGTAATCAGGTTTGATCCAAGGGAAAGTAGATCCATTCCCTTGGATCATGAGCCCTTCATTATGAAAATGCTCCTTCCTTGAAGGGTCTTTAGAGAAGTGTTTTATCTTGGGATATATTTTCTCCAGTAGTGTTACTGTTCAACTCTGTGAGTGTTTAAACATATAATCAGTAAAGTTGTGTGTCAGCAGTTGTCGGAGCATCTGGAGAAGAAGGAAGCTGTTCTCTCTGAAGTTCTCTCAGCTGCTAATCTGGATCCCACCTCATTTAACCACGTCAGCCACCAACTAGAGGTATATATTGCATCCATTATAAAAAAAAAAAATGTCGAAAGATAAGAATATTTATTATTATTATCAGTGGTCAATGAAAAACACTTTAAGAAAGTAAGATCTTTATTTTATGAGGTTACTAACAATGGAGCTTTATATAGCTCCACTATGGGTGAAGCATTGTAAAACAAAGATTTTCCTTCCCTAAATTATTACATTCATGGGAAAAGAGGAAAGCTCATAGAGCTGGGGTAACAGTAGGCAATTATATTTGATCCTAGGAAAGGAAGGTATATTAGATTCTATGGACCAAGATCCCCTAACCAGCAATAAAGCACTTTCCTTGCCTTGATGGGGAATTTTAATGCTGTCACTTAGGAATCCTTAGTTTTCCATGCTCTGTCTACAACTGTTTAACCAGTTCATAAATAGTGTTTTACTCTCACTTGTCAGCCTTCCTCTTTGTCAAATCAAACACAATTATCTCTTTTCCCTCTAGACACTGAATAACCCCCATGGATTTAGTGGTTCCCAGTGAAGACATAGGTAATTGTTCCACTAAATTTTTAAATTTGAACTGGTAGCCCGCCCAGCTACCACACATGAGTTTAAAGATGGATTAATGAAAATGTCTATGCCGTAATTTATGACATTTAAAGTGCCTCAGAGTAGTTACTATTATTATTGCCATTGGCTTACTATGTTCACTGAGTTTCATCATTGCTAACTTGGCATTTAAAGTAAGAGTCTTACAACTCCTCTTTTTATCACAACTACCCTTAGATGCCATTGTAACTGATAGAGAACAAGAGAAATGCAAAGAATGTAAACAAACTGAGAGGGAACGGATGGTGGGAGGTCAAATTAACGCAGTTCATAAGCGTTCATTTTGCATAATGCACATGTTTAAGCTTTTTCCCCACAATACAAACACCTTACAGTGTATACAAGTTATCTTCACATTGGTGCAGTATAATAAATAATAGCAACACTCCCATTCTCGTGCAACACATCATTTTTAGAGCAAATGATGCTATGAGTGAAGACATGAAGGAGATATTTTTCTATAGTTACCCCCTAGTAATACTATACTGTATACAGCTTCTCTAGTGTTAGATTAAAGAAAACATAATTCTTGCCATCTCTCCTACAAGCCAACATTTAAAGCTCCCCACAGCTAGCGAGACACTCTTAGTGATTTTAATGTGTACCTGCATGCCAGCACTGTGTGTAAGTTTATTTAGGTACAGGTACACATAAGTACAATTATCAGAGTATACATAAAATATGCTTTAACGTTAAAACGACTTGAAATTTTTAAAGTTTTCAGACATGATTGCAGAGCTCACGATGATGTAAACAGTGGCGTGCAGATGCCATAATAGTAATCAGGGAGCCGTATAACTGAATTTTTGGTTGTAATTTGAAATGTCTGTATTAGTAAATTGCCATAAAGCAGGGCCTTCCTATATGTGTATATCATTTCCTGATCCTAGGTATGATAAACTACACCTTGAAGAGGGTACCTTGATGCCAGTGAAGGATTCTTAATCCAAGGAATTTAAGCTATCCCCTGGAATCAAACTGATTACCTTTATTTCCCAGGCCCTATATGACCTCCATATGGGTTTAGTGCTTTCCCATAAATATAAGCGTCCAATAGGGACTGACATATATGACGAGTATAGTCTGTCTAATCATACAGAGTAATACGCTCATTCATTACAGACAATTGTTGACGAGAAAAATCAACTAGTTGGAGGCTTGCGTGAAGAAGTAGCAACTCTGCGACGTATGTACACAAACCTCATGGATAAATATCAGTCTACCCTCAGAAGCAATGCCAAACCAAAGACTACTACTAAATTTCCCAACATTTCAATATAAACCCAATCTGTCAATCACTCCAGCATTGCTGGATTTAAATGGTGTGTTGCCAAGACTAGTGAAGAGATGTGATACAGAGGAAGCTTTTATTGGGACAACATTTACAGCTTTATCAAGTCACACAGAATGCATGCATATACTGTGTTTAAACTCCTTGTGGGGAGTAAGAGGTGAGGTGAGTGTAATCATTAATGTCTGATGAATCTTCCATGAAGTTTTGCAAGAGATACACTGGTCAGTGTTGTTCAACTGTCTCCTGGTTTCTGGCTGGCACATTTGGCCTAATCTTGTGCAACTCTAGTGCCAAAACTTTCTCTGAGGAAACAACTGGTAACTCTAACAAGACACATTTGTAGTAACTAGTATATTTAATGAGGAATTGTTTTGGCCACAAAGGGCTTTATCAAGCCAGTATAGAGAATAGAAAATACTGGATATAGATAGTGAATCAGGTCAGCTGCTGCATGCATTGGAAGGCAGAGCTACTAGGCATGGCTGTGTTCTGCTTTAATAGGATGTGTAAAGCAAATATTTCCAAAACCATAGAACTGCCTGTGCTTTGAGTGGTGGAGTTGATAGTAGCAATGAAAGCAAATTCCAATTAGAATCTGCAACTTAGGCCAAGTTTCTTGGTGACAAGCTTGGCACTTAGGAAGTCTATGAGATGGTTACTTCGTGTTATGGTACAGGCATTAAGTGGTTCCTTTGGCTAGTGTACTTATGTTCACTGGTGTCTTTGATTCTCGTAGATGTTTTCACCATGTATATTTTCCCCCACATTAGATGGTGTAAGTACTATCTTTAGATTCACTGTGTTGTGCATTACATTCTAGTTTGTTACTATGTTCTTAATGGTGTTGAAAGTCATATTGGCTATGCAGGTCTTTTATCAATAAGATTATAGACATTCTCAGAGCCATCCCAACAGGAGAGCAATGTACCTGTCAGGAGTCTTTTAGTGGTGTGTAAGACCTTAAGAGCCTTTCTCCCTCAGTCATTGATGTAATGTGTTGAGTACTGAAGGTTGGAAAAGCTTCAGTGTATACAACTGCAATCTTTGAGGGAGAGCTTGATATTCAATAAGCTCTTAACAACCTATAATGACTCTTAGTACATGGGTCATGGTGTAATGGGTAATGTGGTTCATCCTTGTTCATGGGTTTCCTGCAAACTTTGAAATCTAAATTGTGGCCATTCCTGCAAAGTAAATTATGAAAGAGTAGGCAATTATTCTGTTCCTTCTCCATGGTAAATGTGATGAGAGGTTTCCATGGAGTTGGTGAGACGCAAAGTGGTGTCCAGATGGCTAGATACAATTATCCATATAAACTGTGTTCTCTCTCTGAAGATGTATAGCCTGGAGGAAAGCTGTACACCTCCAGAGATAACATGGCATTATGTGGATAACATCCTGGTAATCACACCTAGACATCTGGACACCACTGCACTTCTCAACATCAGCTCCAAGTTCACCATGTAGGAGGAAAAGAATAATTACCTACTCTTCCCAGTTTACTTTGCAATAATAGCCAAAAATTGGATTTCAGAGCCTACAGGAAACCCACAAATAAGGATCTTCTACACTCCTATCATGAACCCACATACTAAGAGAGGAATCATCATAGGCTTTTCAGAGCTTATAAAATTTCAAACCCTGCATTCCTTGAAGAATGTAGTTGTATACACAGGACCTTTTCCAAACTTCAGTACTCACCACATTTAATCAGCGATTTTAAGAAAGGCTATGAAGGTCTTAACACATCATTGGTCTCCCAATTCAACAGGGTTCTGAGAAAGTCAACTACTTTATTGTTAAAAGACCTTCATGGCCAGCATGACTTTTAACACCACCAACATATTAACAAATAGGAATGCACAACACACAAAACTGAAAGCTAGTATTTACACCACCCATTGTGGGAAAGTATACATGGTGAAAACACCTAGGAACATCAAACAACGTACCAGTGAATGTTAGCAGAATTGCCAGAAATTACCTAGCACCTCTAACACCCATAACCATCTCATGGATTTCCAAAGTGCCAGGCTTGTCACCAAGGAATATGACCTGTGTCACAGATGCTGTCTGGAATTTGCTCTCATTGCTACTACCACCACCACTCAAAACACAGGCAGTCTTATGATCTAGGAAATACTTGCCACACACATCCTGTCTAAGCAGAACACAGCCATGCCTAGCTCTGCCTTCCAGTGCATGCATTACCTGACCTGACCCATTACACATATCCTGTGCTTTCTATTCTCTCTATTGGATTGATCAAGCATTTTATGGCCAAACCATTTCCTCATTGAATGTTATAGTTATGTGTTTTGTTGTTATTACCAGATGTTTCCTCAGAGAAAGTCTTGGCACTAGAGTTGCCCGAGATTAGGGCAAATGTGCCAGCCAGAAACCAGGAGACAGCTGAACAACACTGACCAGTGTACTTCTTGCAAAGCTTCAGACCTAAAATTCATCAAAATGATTACACTCCTTCCTCTCTCCAAGAAGTACATGTATGAGAGCATTTTGCCAAGCTTGATTCCTTCATTACAACAATACCATAAATGAGACTTAATATCTTTGTTTTCATTAGCATTTCTTCTTTTGTATAATAGCTGAAGTAAATTTCTTAGGTATGCCTGTGTTTACTCTTTCCTGAAGACTTCTGTGAATTACTAAAGTCATTGGGGAATACTACACCCATAGGAATGACTGTCTGTGGAAGAGTAACAGACACAATTGTAGTGAAAACATTTCTTTGTACAATGCTCAACACTGGTCTTTTTCAAGTACTTAACAGACATGAGAAACTATGGCTTAAATAGTCCAGAGGGAGTGACTATCACTTGTTCAGGTAACATATGTTTGGATACAAGTTAAACCACTCTTGGTGTGGGAGGTGCACTGTTGGAGGCCCTGCTGGCCTATGTTCAGTTTACCAGATTT